GAGCTGATCCACTGCACCTGGCCTAACCTCACTTTCTTAACCGAAGGCAATTTAATACAAGGAATAAGGTGCTTGCAAAATCATTAGAAGCCTGGAAGAACAGACTCTATATGGGGCCTCTAGGAACGGCTTCTACCATAGAACTGGCCCCCAAGGGAATTCTTGGTCTGCCACGATCAGAAAGCTTGGGAATCGGGAAGCCACTACCAGATTTGTTGGCCCCAGGGCCATATAGTACCTGGTAGACCCACGCAAACAAAAATACATACAATTTGTTCCCCCTTCATGTCTCTCCCCACTCAACTCATGAACCACATAGTGCATCTGATTGGAAAAACCTAAATTGCACCCAGAGCCATAGCTTTTTGGAGTCTGGAAAAAGGTGGGTTTAAGATTACCAGCCTCTTGAGTATGGGACACTCACTAGGAGAATGCTGAAACTGATACGATCAAGTTGGTCTTCCAGATCTGCCACATTCACTCCCCATCCCCACAAAAAAACAAAAATGTTACATCAGGAAGAGGCCTCTCTTGAGAATGACAGCCTCTTATCCAATTCCAAAACCAGAATCGGGTCTTAGACCCAGAGAACTCTGAACGAAGACAAGGCCAGATACCCTTGAGGAAGGGCCCTGCAAGAGCATCACAAGCACGTGCTATACGTCTACCTCCTGGCCTTCTCCATAGGAACCCAAGAGCATTGACAAGAGCAGCTGTGTACCGGGGGAAGGAAAATGTCTAGACCTTTGGGGATTATTGGACACTGGCTCCAAATCAACTCTAATCTCTAAAACTGCGGAACAATGCTGTGGTTCCCCAGTTACAATGGAAGCTTATGTGTAGGTTATTTTGGTTACTATTCTCTTCCTGGTAGATCTAAAAACTACATTTCCCAGCCTCCTTTGCCACTGAGATGAGCCATGTGATTTAGATTCTACCAGCCAGATACGCCCACGTAGGACTCGACTTAGAAAAGAGGTATGCGGGGAAGTGGGCTCCCCTCGGGGCATCTAGTTTACTGGCAGATGACAAGTCAGCATGGTTCTGAACCCAGGCTGTGGAGGCTGTTTCTAAGTTCAGAGGCCCCATCCTGACTTGGCAGTTTCATGGTCTTGGCAGAGGCAGCAGCTCCCTTGGCAGACCCACTCTGCTGTGTCATTTTGGGGACTCTTGGAAATTCAGCCTAAATTCTGTTTCTCCGGCCCTCCTAATGATTCTTTGAGCTATCTGGAGCTCTTATAAATCCCTTACTTGTTAAATAGCCATAGTAGCTTCTGTTGGTTGCAATTGAGAACCTGACCAATACAGAGGATCAGATGGCAAATGAGCCCGCTGGTACCCTGGACCAATCCTGTGGTCATCTCCCAGTGTCTGAAAGGAAATGGGTGTAGTCATTAAATGGCTCCCTGATCCATGGAGTAAGTGTTATTATGGTAAGAAAGGCCAACAATACTACATCTCTAAGGGAATGACAGAGATTAGTGCCACATAAGAGATCTGATAAATTTAGATTTGGAGACTCTGATCACTTCCCCACTAACTTGCCTATTTTTCCTGTGTAGAATATGGACAAATGTTAGAGAATGACAGTAAATTATTTTACAACTATCATGTGGCTGTTCCAATAGCAATCATTGATCCAGATTGCATCTACTTACCAGAACAGATCACCACAGTCCCTAGTACCTGCTGTGGGAAATTCTTTTTTCTCTATCCCAATAGACAAAGAATACCAGAATAAGTTTGTTGTCACCCACAGAGAAAACAGTACAAGAGGCTTCCCACGGTTCCAGTTACCAGTGGTCAACCACATTCTGAAAGTATTAAATGAAAAATTCCACAAGGAAACAATGTATCAGTTTTAAATTGTGCACCATACTGAGCAATGTGATGAAATCTCACACTGTCCCACTCCATCCTGCCCAGGATGTGAATCACCCCTTTGTCCAGGGTGTCCACATGTGTACACCACCTGCCCACTAGTCACCTAGTAGCCATCTCGGTTATCAGATCAACTGTCGCAGTCTCACGATGCTTGTGTTCAAGTAATCCTTATTTTGTTAATAATGGCCCCAAAGTGCAAGAGTAGTGAAGCTGGTGATTTGGATATGTCAAAGAGAAGCCACAAAGGGCTGCCTTTAAGTGAAAAGGTGAAAGTTCTCGACTTAGTAAGGACAGAAAAAGATCACATGCTGCCCCAACAGACTGTGTGTCTCTGCCTGGCTTTGTTCCTGCCATCATGGATCCCACCCAGCACCTCCTTTACATCCTAGTCAGTCCCCTGTGGGTCACCTGCCTGGCAGAGTTGTCACATGCACATGCCCTAGTGCAAGGGCAGTGGGAAAGCAAGTTCTGGCTTCTCTCTCAGAAAGCCTCAGCCGCATAATGAATAATTCTCCAAATAAAGTTAGAGAAGTAGACAAAAGATATAAAATGGTAGATGAGGAAGACAGCAGGTAGCAGGAAAAGAACCAGAGAAGACAGTAGTCAGTTACACATTAACAGTTGAGCACCAGAGAAAAGATCACAGACTCCCTCAAGATGCTCAGCATCTTGCTAGAGCCATCTTAGACCCAGAGACATCATCCTGCACCTAGCTCCATATAGTCCAGAATCTCGAACCTTCCCGAGCTTCTGTGTCACTTGTTACCCTACGTGCACCCTTACGTAGCCCCTCCCCCAGTGATTTGAGCCAACCTATAGAAATTGGTGTTTTCCAAAAATGACCCCATTAATATCCCATTGCACATGCTGTTCTTCAATGTGACATGAACACACACGTCCACAGCATCTAGAGATGGGATCTGTATTCATTTTCTATTTCTGCTTAACGAATTACTGCAAACTTAGCAGCTTAAAACAGCACTATTTATTAGCTGACAGTCTTGCTGGTGTGACTGGGCTCTCTGTGCAAGATGTCACAAGGCTGAAATCAAGATGTCGGCCAGGCTGAGTTCTCATCTGGATGCTCGGGGGAAGTCCGCTTCCAAACTTCTTCTTGATCTCAGAAAAATTCAGGTCCCTGCAGCTGGAGGACTGCGATCCCCTGTTCCTTGCTGGCTCTTAGCTCCTCGATCCCACACATTCCTTGCCACATGGCCCCCTTCCATCCTCAGCTAGCAAGGACACATTGAAATCTTTTCATATTATACTTAAGACAAGATAGGGCACATTCAGGGTGATATAGCCATAAATAGAAATCTTCTTATGCTTCAAATCTCTGACTTCTCCTGTGACCAGCCAGACAAAACTCTTGGATTTGAAGGGCTCATGTGATTAGGTCAGCTCCCCCAGATAATCTTCTTATCTTAAGAGCAACATATTTAAGACCTTAATTATCAAAATCCCTTCATTGCAGCATCTAGGTTAGTGCTTGATGGAATAACTGGAACAAGGTGTGTGTACACCAGGGCCGGGAATCTTGGGGGATCATCTTAGAATTCTGCCTAGCGCAAGGTCTTTGTTCCCTTCCCTTGAATCTAGGCAGGCCTGTGACTACAGCAGAAGTGACACTGTGTGACTTCCAAGTCCAGATGATAAGTAAAATAGCTTCTTCCTGGCAGTGTCACACTTAGGATATATGTTTTTGGAGCCCTGAGCCAGCGTGTAAGAAGTTTGGCTACCCTGAAGCTGTCCTGCAAGAGGGTCACTCTGAGACCACTAGCAGGTCCTGTGTTAGCTATGGAGGGAAGCAGAGAGACAGAGAGAGCTGCCCAAGGAACCCCAGCTGGGCCAGAGATATGAGTGAGCCAGACTTCAGATGACTCCACCACCAGCCTGTGAGCCACAGTGACACTAGGAGGAGCAGAGATGAGCTGTCCCCACCAAGCCTGTCAAAATTGCAGATTTCATGAGCAATGTAAATATTGTTGATTTAAACCTCTAAGCTTTGGGGTGACTTGCTATGTAGCTATAGTACCTACTTCATAGGCTGAGGGGGAAAGGAGTTTTGACTATCAGAATCCTTGGAGAATATTACTGGCTGTGGTCTTGTCTTGTGGAATGTTTCTTATTCTGCCTCAGAGCACCTTATTTTTGCCTATATTTTTCACCATCTATGAAATCTTCCAAAGCAAAAACCACATCATTGTTGTCTTGTTTCCCTACATAGCTAGCACACCACCTGATAATAGATTATGGTAGATTGTTGGCAAAAAATGGCCTCAATTATTGCCCCCCGATACCCGTCCCCTTTGCCATATGACTTTGCACCTCCTCCCATCAAGAGAAGTCTATTTCCCCTGGTCTTGGTCTGGGTTAAGTCATGACTTGCTTTGGCCAATATAATGCAGCCAAAATGACTGCTCTGATCCTAAGCCCCAGGAGGCCTTGCACGCTACCATTATCTTGGAACACAGCTCAAGCTAGCCGGCTGGAAGATGACAGTCATACAGCTCATTCATCCCCATCACCCCAGCCAGCATCCAGCCAACCTCCAGAGGCAGAGCCACCTGGCTGACTTGCAACTGACCACAGATGCATAAAGGAAAACAGAACTACCCAGTCTAAATTGCCAACTGCAAAATTCTAAGCTGAATGAATGATTGTTATTTTTAGCTGCTAAATTGTGGGCTGCTTTGGCACAAACAAAAGTTAACTGGTAGAAAAATTAACCAACACTTTTTATGGTGAATTCAATTGACTGTCCCCTCACCTCCATTCAGTCCCTTCTTATCTCAAAGAACAAATGGTTCCACACTAAAGTTTGATTTGCAGTGGGAAAGCTTTATTAGGAATTCAGGATCAGGCAGGGAGTGAGGTCACCCCAGGCCTGAGAGAGGAAGGAAGGTCTCCCCAACCCTGAGGCCATCAAAGCCGAGCAGAGCAGGGGGCCAGTGGACAGCCAGAGGCACACACACCAAGTCAGTCCTGACCCACGCAGGCACCAGGGCTCGTTGCCAACTATTCCTGATGGCAGGACGCATAAGCAGGCCTCATCCGGGGTCTGCCCATCTGGGGGAAGCTCCACTGGGGGTGGGCAGGGGAAGTTTACGGAGGCTCTAGTATCGCACGTGGTAGCCTGTGGAGAGATGGAAGGGAGGTGAGGGTGAGAAGAGAGGACTGCGAGAGGTTGGGACTCGGCGAAAAACAGGGAAACTGGGAGCAAAGACACTGGAGCTCAAAGAGCTAGAGAGTCCTGAGAAGGAAGGACCTAGGGGTCACCCAACCTAGCGCCCCTGTCTGTTTCCTGAGTCTCTTGCAGCAACCCTGGCAGATGCTCTCCGCGAGGCAGCCCTCTGCACTCAACAGTTCTGTTTGTAAATTTTTTGCATATCCAGGCAAAGATGGCCCCAGCCTCACCCTAGATGCACATTCATGGCCCAACAGTGTCACTGGACACAAAAAACCACACCAGATGCCTGACCAAAGGATGGCTCCCAGGCACCGCAAGCCTTCTCTGAGCTAAACATTCCCAACCACGTGACCCAGCCTTTTGCCATGTCATTTCCTATTAAGTTTTTATTTTATAAAATTCAGTGTGTAGATAAGGAAATTTTCCCTCACCTAGAGACCACCTTACTTGTGTGACTCCTTCTTACATTTTGATTATCATGTTCACTATATACTCCTTTTGGTCTTTGCATTGTGTAACACTCGTGCAAGCCCCCCACGACTGAAACCCCTGACGCTCTCTTCCACCTGGACTGTTGCTAATCCAGGTCTCCCACCCTCATGCTGGTTGAATGGACTGGCCATGGAGCCCTACGGAGCTGAGTCCCTCATCTATGAACCGTATGACCTTGAGCAAATTACTTATTTTCTCTGGATCTCATTTTTTTAAAAAACAGGGATAATAATAAAACCAATCTCAAAATGTGTGGTTGGAAATATATAAGCTAATGCACGATTTTCACCCCATCTCCTAAACTACTGAGACTCAGGCCACATGTCTACTTGGTTGGAGCCTCAACCAAAGCTTTGTCAAAAATAATGATCAATTCAGAACTAAGAGCAGGTCTATGGAATCTCACTAGAGACCTAAAATCTAGTTCTGCTCAGAATATGTATTCCCCAGAGAGGTTCAAAGATATTTAAAAAGGGGTTATACCTTGCCTCTTCCTCTACCCTATAACCTAGAGTTGTGCCTCCCTCCACTCGACAACACAGAATTGTCCCTTACCTTTTGATTCATCATAGTCACCAGATTTTGAGGAGGAGGACTGGGACTGGGATGATCTTCCACCACTTCCTCCTTTGGATGCGCTTCCTCCGCCGTAGCTGCCTCCGCCTTCACCTCCAGAACCACTTCCTCCACCATAGCTGCCTCCACTTCCTCCTCCAGAACCACTTCCTCCACCATGGCTGCCTCCACTTCCTCCTCCAGAACCACTTCCTCCACCATGGCTGCCTCCACTTCCTCCTCCAGAACCACTTCCTCCACCATAGCTGCCTCCACTTCCTCCCCCAGAACCACTTCCTCCACCATGGATGCCTCCACTTCCTCCTCCAGAACTACTTCCTCCACCATAGCCGCCTCCACTTCCTCCTCCAGAACCACTTCCTCCACCATAGCCGCCTCCACTTCCTCCACCATAGCTGCCTCCACCTCCTCCTCCAGAACTACTTCCTCCGCCATAACTGCCTCCACTTCCTCCCCTGGATCCACTTCCTCCACCATGGCCGCCTCCACTTCCTCCCCTGGATCCTCTTCCATAACTGCCTCCACTTCCGCCTCGAGATCCACTTCCTCCTCGACCTCCTTGGCTACCTCCCAAGCCAATTTGTTGAGCTCCAGAAGATTCACTGAGAAAGAAAGAAAGAAAACACAGAGATAAAATGTGTGGCCCTCACGTACCCATACAAGGATGTACCTGGACAGAGTCAAGACCCAAACATGAATCTTTCTGTTTTCTTTCCTGGGAGGCAGAGGACAGAGACTGGGCTGGTACTGCAGCTGGGAGAAGAGGGCCTCCAGCTGGGCATGGGAAGCCTTCCCCTCCCTGGACCAGCGAGGCAGCTCCTTCTCACATTGTCATCATTCTCCTTTCCCAAAGTCCAAATGCCCTGAGGTCCCCCCACAGGATGAAGAAGTCCTCAACCAATCAGACCCTGTGTACAAGAGCTTCCCCAGATACCCCTATCCAAAGGAACAGAAGTAGTATCAGAGGCCTAGGCACTCCTAGGAGTTTGACAGAATCCTGGGGGACTTACAAGTCTTCCTGGCCACCCTCAAGGAGGCTGCGGTAGGTCTGAATTTCCTGCTCCAGCCGCATCTTGATGCTGAGCAGAAGGCTATATTCCTGATTCTGGCTCTCAATCTCTTGCCGAGTCTCAGTGATCTGGGCCTCCAGGTCACTGATCTGCGCCTGGATCTGCTGCAGCTGGCCACAGTAGCGGTTCTTCGTTTCTTCCAAGGAATTCTCCAGGGCTGCTTTCTATGGGGCAGGAGGAGGCTTTAAGAGGGATGCTACATCATAGCTCCTCTCCTTCCCACTCCTGGGGATCATGCAAAGCCTCCTGTGCCCCATCCTGCCAGAAGGTTTAGAGAGGGACTACCAACCTTGCTGAGCAGAGACTGCAGCTCAATCTCCAACTCCTGGACACTATGCCGAAGCTGGGTCACCTCCTTGGTGTTGGACTCCATCTCCTGGCCACTAGACGTCACTTCCTGCTCGATCTGGGTTATCTGCAAACCCAAAGGCTCAGTAAGGACCAGGCTGGGCCAGGACCTTCAGTGGACAAGGTTCTTCACCTTCAGGGCAAGGCTGAGCCAAAGCCAAGGACAAGTTGTTCTGAGTTCTGGATCCCTCCAGCCATGCAGGGTTGTCCAGTTCTCTCAACATGACATTCCCTCTCAGCAAGGTTTTAAGGCCCTTCACATTTTGTCCCCAAACCACCTTTCTAACCTTATTTCAAACTGTCTCCACCTTCCAATCAACACCCCCCACCAACACACACACGCGCACACACACACACACACACACACACACACACACACACACACACATTACAGACCATGCCTTTATGTGCCAGGCTCCATGCCAGGCTCTGGAGACCCAGGGAGGAAGGGAGCCATCAAGGAGCTCAGGGGAGTATTGGAGGCGCACTGTCCCTCTGCTAGAGTCCTATATCACATAGCATTACAGTAAGTTGTTCACGCTCTGCTTTTGTTCTCACACAGCTGATAAACTGTGAGCCCCTCAAGGGCAGCAATCTTACTGGCTCATCTCTGAGACATCAGCACTTCACATAGAACCCAACACTGAGAAGCTACTCTGCAATTATGTTTGTGTACAGTGAAGAAAGAAGGATGAATGACATCCATTGGAAGACGGGTGAGTGACAGCTACACTAAGACAGAGAAGTGGGGGGATGAAGGGACAGAAGAGAGGGATAAGGTGGAGGAATGGAGAGCTGCATAGACCAAGGGAGGGATGGCTGAGTGGGCAGCCCACTCTGCTCACCTGACTCTCGTATTGTTGCTCGATTTCCTTTCGGTTCTTAGCAATGAGCTGCTCATAATCCTGGCGCATGTCGTTGAGGGCCTTGGTGAGATCTTTGCTAGGAGCAACATTGATCTCCACATTCACATCTCCATCATTTTGCCCAGTCAGCTGGCTCATCTCCTGGCAGGGAAGAAGGGGATATGAGATCAGGTCAGGGGTGGGACCCTCTTCACCACGCTTTCTTCCTCTGGTCCTCCCAGGGTACAGTTGTGAAGTCAAAGGGCAACCACCACCATTGGCAGGGCTACAGAGGAGCTGAAAGTGTCCTCCTTGGGAGCAAGGAAGAGGGTGTCTCCCAGGCAGTGCCCCATAGCACTCCAGCCCCTCCGTCTCCCCAGTAGACTGTAAGGAGCCAGCACCCACCTCCTGATGATTCTTCTTGAGGGCCATCAGCTCCTCCTGCAGGGTCTCATACTGCATCTCCAGGTCAGACTTCTCCATGGTCAGATTGTCCAGCACCTGCCGCAGGCCGTTGATGTCGGCCTCCACACCTTGCCGCAGGCTTTGCTCCATCTCAAACCTGCAGACCAGGCAAGGGTAGAGAATGATCAAAAGGGCACCAGGCCCTACAGGGACCTCCAAAGCACTGTGGGTGAGGTAAGAATTGACAACAGGAGAGGCAGAAAGGAGCAGGACTCACTTTATCCTGAAGTCATCCAGTGTCATGCGAGTGTTGTCAATGTCCAGGAGAGTTTTGTTGTTGCCCACTGTCAGGTCCACAATCTGAAAGAGAGGAGACAGCATGGAATCACGCCCCGCTGCTATGACCCACAGCTAGGAGAATGAGAGGCCAGCTAAAGCCATCAGAGGTGGAGGATCCCATCCAGGAAGACTCTCAAGAGGCAAGAGGAGCTTCCAACAGCTGGCACACAGGCCACACCCCTCTCGGCCTTTGGCAAGGATATTCAGCGTGGCCTTCATGTATTCATTCAACAAACTTTTGAAGATCTACTGCAAAGGTCACTGTGGGGTTTAGAGATCACTGACATACTTTTCCTCAAGGAGCCCATCATCGACTACAAAGTCCAAGGTATCCTAAAAGACTTCAAGGAAAGGAGAGGTGGCTTATGGTTATGGGATATCAAAGAAGACTTCAGGAGAGAGGTGGCAATTGAATTGAGTTAATATTGAACATGAATAGATGGAAGAGGCTTGGGAAGAAGAAACAACACATCCAGAGGCAGCATGTGTGAAAGCAAGGGACTGAGTGACCACAGGGAAGAGCCAGACTGCTAGCTTCTCCCGGACAGAGGCTAAGCCTAGTACATCACTTCTTCCCAGAGCAACACTGAGGGTAGTCACTCACTAAACTAGATATATAGATGGACATGTGGATGGATGGACAGACGGATGGATGGAGAGACAGCTTCCATTCCCAGAGTTCTAGATCCTCTCCACTTGAACAACCAGCATGTATAACTGGGTCCACAACACCTTAAAAGATCAAGACAGGGTCCTATAGGATCCCGGAAGAAGTAGGAAGGGAGAGAGAAGATTGACTTGGCCCAGACCAAAAGGAGGCTCCACATCCAGTCCCAGCAGTGCCCATGTCAACCCAGGCTTCCTCTCTGCTCTGCCCAAGCTCTGAAAGTTGAGGAAGTAAAGATGAAATCCCAGAGCACAGGCCAAAGTCCCAGGCCTGGGGACCCTCAGGAATGAAATATGAGTTTGTTTCTAATGAAAGTTTAAAGTTTCCAAAAGATGGATTCCCTGGCTATTGTCTAAGCTTAAAGTCTAGCATTTCACCTTTTTGGAAGATAAAGAATGTAAGAAAGAGAGAGACAGATAGAGATTGGAGTTTCCTGTACCTACCTGGTTCTTGAGATCATCAATAGTGTCATAGTAAGAAGAGTAGTCCTTTTGGGACAAACTGGGTCCCTTGCTGTCATACCAATCTTGGATCTTACTCTCCAGGTCACGGTTAGCCTCCTCTAGAGACTGCACCTTATCCAAGTAGGAAGCCAGGCGGGTATTGAGATCCTGCATGACGGTTTTCTCATTGGCAGTAAGAATGCCACCATCGCCGCCACCATAGCCACCTCCAAAGCCCCCAGACCCACCACCAAAGCCACCTCCAAAGCCCCCAGATCCACCACCAAAGCCCCCAGACCCACCACCATAGCCACCTCCAAAGCCCCCAGACCCACCACCATAGCCACCTCCAAAGCCCCCAGACCCACCACAAACACCTCCAGAACCGCCACCAAAACCTCTGGAACCACCCCCGAAGCCCCCACCATAACTACCAGCACTAAAACCACCACCAGATCCTCCACCATAGCTGGAGCCAAAACTGCTGCCACCTCCCCTCCCAAAGCCACGAGAGCTCCCCCCACCACAGCCACTGGAGGAGCTGAAGCGGCCCCCTCCTCCGCCGCCCCCTGAGGAGCTGAAGCGGCTGGAGGAAGATCTTATGCTGCCCCCGCCGCCACTCTTGCTGCCCCCGCCGCCGCCAACGCTACTGCGGCTCCAGTAGGACGAGAACTGTCTGGTGCTCATGGCACTGCTTGTAGCTCGTGGGATAGGAAGCAGTCGCAGGAGTGCTGCTGGCTCCCGAGTGCAAGGTAGGAGAGCTGCTGGAGTGTAAGGTACAGAGCTGTCCCCGGGGCTGCCTACTTATACCCCCGGCTGATGGTGGCACGCCTGGGTGTGCCCTCCGCCTGTGCCAGCCTCCCCCCACAGACTCGAAGGAGGTCTGGGATACAGGAGGCAGCAGCTGCCCCAGGCTCAGCGTCCTTTGGTGACTGCCTGGAGGCAGCCCAGCCTCTCTCCATTGTGTAGGGTAATTGGCTGATATTAGGCTGTCAGGGGCACCATAAATCAGCTCTGCTGCCACAGGGGTGACCTAGATCCTGGAGTTTGGTCTCCGGCTGGTCCCAACAGCAGATCTGAGACTTAGCCCCTGTGGGATAGAAACTCCCAGGAGCAGAGTCACCCCTACCCGACTGATGATTATTACTGCCTGCACCCACCCTGCTCCCACCTGTGCCCACTGTGGGCTGCGCTGGGACCAGGGTACCAAGGAATTATTATAGAGGACGGGGGTGGCACAGCCCCTGCCCTCACGGAACCCCAGTCGGACAAGAAACCAGTTCTGCTCTCAGGATCCCCAAGGCTTTCTTGGGAGACCAAGGCTCGGCCCTCAGGAGACTCCGGTTTGGTGAGGAGATGCGTGGCATGGCCAAAAGATGGAGAGAGACGCAGAGCAATGTGGCCACCGGCACCCAAGGACAGTGCCCAGGCTTCACACGAAGGACTAGGAGAAGAAAGTGGACCAAATAAATAAAGTGCTGCTAATGCTAGCTGACCTTTGTGCAGGAATGCAAGTGGCCCGGCTGTCCTAGTGCCTGCGCAGGGCCCAGCGGTGGGGATGGAATTGACGTTGGTTGAGCGCCTGCCCCATACTGTGCCCTGGGGGAGACCGCGATGTGTGACTTAGCCTCGGATGCATCTGCTGGTCACCAAGGCCGGAAGAGAGTGGAAAAGAAGGCTGCGGGCTGCGGTGCACCTGCCGGAGCTCCACCCCAGCTCTGTGCTCTCATGCTGCATGACTTTGACAAGGCACTTAACCACTCTGTGCCTTGGTTCCCTCCTCTGTAAAATGATGGCATTAATTGTGTGCCCATCTCCTAGTAAGACTCATGAGAAATGCTCAAGAAATGCTAAATGCCTCTGATTATTCAGCCCCTCACTCCCTCTCACCTCTGCCCTCACCCAGGCCTTCACTGTCAGCTTCTCGCTGCTCTCCCCGCCTCTCCCGTGTCCCTTTGACTCCTCCGCACGGCCACCGGAGCGATCTTTCTGTCTGGAGTGATGTGTCACTCCACTGACTTCCCTTCACCCCCAAGATAAGGTCCACATTCCTGGCGCTCAAGGCCCAGCCCCATCTCGCTATTCCTGCCCCATTTCCCACCGTCTCCCCGCCCCCCACCAAATCACGCGATGCTCCCCAGATGCCCCGCGTGCCTCGGAGAATGCTCAGCACTTGCAGTTCGCTCTAATGGAAATGGCCCTCTCCATCTCTCCTACGCAGCAAACCCCTGCTGGTCTTCGGCGACCCCTCCAGGTGCTGCCTCCTCCATGAAGCCTCCCTGTGCTCCCCGCCTGGGTCTGCACTTTGCTCTGTCACAGGGTCTCGCACTGACCTCCACACTCTCCTGGACAGCAGGAGCTCCTCTGAGCCTGCGACTACTCATCCTGTGCTTGCCCCGTGCCTGGCACCGTGTCTGAGCCAGACGGGATCCCAACACATGCCAGATGAAGGGAGGATGCCGGTGGTTCCAGAGAGATGCTAAGGGGCGAAAGGGAGCTAATGGTGGGAAGAGAGAGGCCAGGGTGGCCTGCAAGGGCCTGGAAGAGGCAGTGACCCCTGGGCAGAGGCCATGAAGGACCAGTGTCTCTTGAGATGCTTGCAAATGATGCTCAGAGACTGTGTTAAATAACGCTAAAGCCCTTGGTGGGAAGAGTATTTCTTTTTTCTGTTTTTCGATCTTCTGATTAGTCAAGGAGAAACTGTCAGTTGGACACGATGGCCTTTTTAACAGCCCTCCACGCTGTCGGTCACTGTGTTCGCTAAAACCAGAGCTGGCCTTGGGCTCGAGCCTTTAGAAGGTAACAGTTTTAGAAGTGAAGTGTTTCTTTATGTCATTTCCTTCTATTTCTGATAGTGATTCTGATTTTCCTTTTTTTTGGTAGTAATATAGGATTTCCTTTATAAATATATTTGTTGAAATGAAAGGTGAGCTAACCTACCAAAATGTGTTAAACAAATACTCAAATGGGTGGTACAACGCATGTTACATGAAAAATTAAAGCCAGGCACAGTGGCTCACACCTGTAATCCTAGCACTTTGGGAGCCCAAGGTGGCAGGATCGCTTAAGCCCAGGAATTCGAGACCAGCCTGGGCAACATAGTGAGATCTTGTCTCTATGGGGAAAAAAAATTAGTCTGGCTTGGTGGTGTGCACCTGTAATCCCAGCTACTCGGGAGGCTGAGGCAGGAGGATCGCTCAAGCCCAGGAGTTTGAGGTTGCTGTGAGCTATGATGATATCACTGCACTCTAGCCCGGGCAACAGAGCAAGATCCTATCTCAAAAAGAAAGAAACAAAAACAAAAAATAAGCAGGTAGCATAGGGAATATTGAAGGCTTTCTGTGAACGCCTAACACATGGGAGACTCAAGGTTAATAGGGATGTGTTGATTCCCTTTCTACTTTCTTGAATGGTTCTAAACCACCCTAGGTCCCTGCCACGCTCTGCCAGGAAGCCCAGAATCTGCCTGCAGTGTAGTCTGAGGCCTGGGAAGTTGCTCCCTTCCCCAGCCCCATGCCTATGCCACTGCTCTGGTTGGGATGTAAACCCCAGGTCCTGGGTGCCTGAGCTGGAGAGTTTGGGCAGAGCTGAGGGTGGGCAGCTGGGGAGCTTCTGGAACCCTGCTCTGCTGTCTGTAAATGCATCCACGTCGGGGATCCTAAAAACAGTTGAGACCTGCCTGACTGACCAGAGCTCCCCAGGGCAGCCCTGACCAGTGGCTCTCTCGCGAAATGACCCATTTCCAGCCCTGATGTGAAACCCGCTGACCCCTACCCTCACCCCCTCCTCAACTTCCCATCCTCAGCCCTGCCCTAAGCCTCACTCAGCCCAGAGCAGCAGGCTCCAGCCCCCAGAATTCCCCCCAGCTGCCCAGGAAAATGAGCCGCCCCTGGGGACCACCATAGAGTGGAAAGAGCAGTACCTCCCCAGTCAGAGAGAGCCGGGCCACCTGCCAGCCCCACCCTCCCTTCCCCTGTGACTGTGGCCTCAGTTTCCCCACGAGAAGCCCTTTCACGCAGTGCTGCCAAGGGCCATAAAGACAAGCAGTCTCCAGAGGAAGACCCAACTGCTGTCTGCATCTGCCCTCCACATCTGCCCTCCACACTTGCGCTTGCTGTGCTGGACGGCTCCTGTGGTTGCGCTGGGAGGTCGTGCTCCACTTGCAAACCGAGCATCCTCGTTTCCCTTCTCCCAAGCTCTCTGCCCGGCACAGAAGCCAGACTGGGCATGATGGGGCCAGGGATGAAGGAGGCCGACAGCCCTGGTCTGCATGAGTGATTCTTCTAGGTCGTGTGACATGGCTCACTCTTCCACCTTCTCAGGGCTCGGCATCTACCCTCTGAGCCCCACCGCCAACACCTCCCATGGGAACCCTCCAAAGAGTGAACCAGGAATGGAGCCCACGTAGCTCAGGGCAGCCCGACACGGGACCCAGCGAGCATCAGCACTGCCCCTCTGCAGCCGGCGTGCAAGACCACAGCCTGGACCCACAGTGCCGGCAGCCCAGACACCAGCCCTGCCCTTGGCAGGTGGATGGGGTAGGAGGGAAGGGGCTGTGAGGACCCAGACAGGCAGAGAGGGACAGAGAGGGACCCAAACAGAGATCCCACCTGTAAGGTGCTCCTAGAGGGGAAGGGGTCCTCCACTAGGGGTGTGGGAACTTGGTGACAGAGTAAGGACAGCCTCTCTCTGGCCATGGGAGCCCTGCTGCCTGCCTGTAGGCAGCTGCCCACACCCCTTACTTGCTCCTCATTGCTGTCTGTCACTGAGACAAGGTGGGGCCCAGGGAGGGACCTGAGTCATCATGTGGCGGCTGCTGGGACAGGGAGCACAGGCGTGAGTCACGACTCCCCCCCTCCCTCCGTGAGCCATCTGAGCAGGTGCGCGCCGCCCACTGGCACGGGGCTGAGGTGCCTGCACCTGTCTGTCAACGCTTCTTCCTCACACGCCAGACACTTGCCACCACCCCACCTAGCAGACCCCACCAGACCAAGGACAGGGGACGGGGAGGGCTCCCAGCAGGTGCCTCCACCTGAGTCTAGACAGCCCAGGCTCCATCTGCCCGGACACGTCTAGCAGAGAGAGCTGAGAGCACTGGACAGGCCCGAGGCTGAAGCCAGATTCTTCCACTTACTGGGGGACCTCCAGTTCCTGAGCACCCCCATGTGCCAGGCACTGTACTGAATGCCGGGGTAGAGGGAAGAGCAAGCCCCCACCTTCTCTGACAGGTACCACATAAAATAGACCCTCGAAAATAAACGTATAATTCACAACCAAGGTGAGCTCTATTGGTGGGGAAACAGGAAACACAGAATAAGGGGCGTGGCAGTGGGCTGGGGGAGCAGGGACAGTCTCCCTGAGAACGAGACTCTGGAGTGGAGGGTGGGGAGGAGTGAGCCAGGAGGAGGAGAAGAGGAAGAGCATTGAGGGAAGGGACAAACCACTGTGCAAATGTCCTGAGGTGGACAGGAGCAAAGCGACTGCAAGGACAGAAGTCCACTGTGGCTAAAGGGCGGAGGTCAAGTCAGGCAAAGGATTGGGAGCAAAAGAAAAAAAAATAAGTAGTTCCAACCTCATGAAGTCGTTGAAAGGCTTAAAAGAGCTAATATTGTAAAATTGCTGGTGTGGGTCAGGCATACAGCAGGACATCTTCCTGACCGTCGGTGGTGCTGTTTCTGCTCCCCAAT